TACAATAATAAATATGGCTTTTTAAAAAATACAGGAACTTGCCTGTGGAAGTATCCAAGGCTACGCATGTGAGTTTGTATTTTTTGCATATTTCCTATGAAGCTGTTCAGCCATGTAAGGCTTTCTCATTCATTATAGAATTTTTTGTAGACAAAATCATGCATATGCAAATATGAATCCCGTTTATTATGTTCAAATTGTTTTCTAATATTCAATTGCACAAGTGCATTTTCAAACAAGCAGTCTGCAGAAATGAACTATTTAAGAATGGAAATAAGGGGCTGAAGAAAGTAGAGCACTCACAAAGCCTTTATGTACAAGTGTCACTTAAAGTGAGTAGATTGTAGATTGAAAAAAAAAGGGAGCTTTTTAGATATGATAGAAATCTTGGAAAAGGAAATAGAGCAATTTCCAAATAAGATGGACTTGATCATCTATCTCTAGTCCAAGCAGCACCCTAGACATGCTACACAGAAGTATTAACAAGACTTTGGCTGGATTGCTGCATACCTTAATCCAGACCTGGAGGCTGAGGCAGAAGGACCATAGTTCAAGATGCCTGAACTACATAGAAAAGAAACTACCTCAAATAAAAAAATAAACAAATAAATTTAAAAAGAAATAAAATAAACCACAAAAATGCCAAGAATGAAACAGGTGAGGTGTACTCTCCTGAAATCTCAGCACTCGTGAGGCTAGGAGACGAGAAGCAGGAGTTTAAGGCTAGCCTGGGCCTCACATTGAGATCCTGCCCTTCACACCTCAAAGAACACAAAAATTTAAAGTTAGACAAGGATAAGTTTAAGAGATCTACTGTACAACATTGTGGCTATCCTTAGTAACAGTGATGCAAGCCAGGCACTATGGCAGCACCATCCAGCTACTTGGGTGGCTGAGCAGAAAGATGGCAAGTGCAAGACCTGAGTTTCAAACCTTAGTTACCCTCCCCACCCCCAAAAGCTGAGAAACCCCATCTCAAAATCCCCAAGCAAACAAAAAAAAACGTTATTGTTAAAAATAACCAAGAGCTGATTATAAGTTTTCTCACCACAGAAAAACAAGTGAAGTATAACATGTCAATGTAGCCAATACAATATATACATATTTTTCAAAAAGCATATACTGTTCATATAATCAATTAAAATTATAAATTAGCAAAATAAAGCATGAAATATATTTTAAAACATAAAACCTTCATACTATATATCAGCTTTACTATGAACTTTTTGTCAACTAGGTCTAACTTCTCTGCTTATTTTATGAGTAAGTTCCCCTGAAATATGTACTTGTTCTTACCTTTAGATTTGGAATTAGCTCTCCACAACTGAGTATCCGTACCTCAGCAAATGTTTGCTAGCTGCATCTGTTTTCTGGTTTTCTATCTCTCTCACAACTTCTTGACCAGAGATCACTTGCCCAAAAACAACATGATGCCTAAAGAGTCAAGTGAAGATGACTAAATAAAAGCTTATTTTTAAAATATTAATTTAAAGTAAGGTATAAAATATCAAAATAAACTTTACCCATCTAAATGAGGAGTTGGCTTCGTTGTTCTTTAGGAAGTCATCAGATAGAAGAATAAAAATAAAGTCAGAGAAAAACAAAGTTAGCATCTCTAAAAAGGAAAAGAAAATAACTGCATTGGAAAGAGCTGAAAACACAGAAATTACATACAACCTTAACATAACAAAATCAAATTTCCTTAATCTTAAGTAGAACAGAAAATATTTTTCATATAATGTGAAAACTATAACAGCAACACTTTTTCTTAAAAACCTGGATTTAAAGTTGACACTTCTATCGCTTTTGTGTTTCTTGCAAGTAACTTAATTTCTACTGAATATTAATGGTTATATAATATTCAACTATATCAACATTATCAAAATTCTACAAGTTTATGGCTTTAACAATAGTGCTTTTCATTCTTAAAACTTTAAACACTTAGCCACAGAACAGTGGCTCATGTTGTAATCCTACTTAACTGACAAGCTGATACTGGGAGGCTTGAAGGTTGGGCCTGTCTGGGCAATAGTTCTGGAGATCCATCTCCAAAATACCAGAACCAAATGGACTGGAGGTGTGGCTCAAAGCAGTAGCATACTTGCTTTGCTTAGCAAGCACAAAGTCCTGAGTTCAAACTCCTGTCTCATCAAAAAAAAAAAAAAAGCAAAACAAAAAACTGCTTTAAACAGTTAAAAGCTGGAAGGGGATGGAGGGATTTGGCAGAGGTGGGAGTAGATTTATTCTGATGCCTCAGACATATTTGTTGAACCCAACAGAAATGGTCCACTTGGGTAAAAATCCAGATTTCACACCTCTCTGAAATACCTGAAAGCTGTGGCACCTGGTACATGGAATAACTGACCAGAGCTAAGTATTCCTGACTTCTTCAACACAGGGACTGACACCTTAGTTTCTTGTCCTAGCAGTTTTATTTGTATTACAACCTTGGCTAGGCTTATAAGTCTGTTATCTTTTGACATTAAAGTAAACTTCATGTTGAAGAAAGAAACCTGAATTAACACGTGGGTCAAAACCCCAAATAAACCATGGTGGTCATGCCCCTATAGTTTCAGCTAGTGGGGAGGTTGAAGTGGGAGGATAGCTTGAGCCCAGGAGTTTGAAGAGAAGCCTGGGCAAGAGAGAGAAATTCTTCTTAAAAACAAGTTGGGTGTGGGGATACACATTTATAATCCCAGCTATTCAGGAGGTAGAGTCTGGGGCTAGCCCAGGCAACAGTACAAGGCCCTACCTGAAAAAACAAACTAAAAAAGGAGTGGGGTGCAAGGTGTAGTAGTAAATACTTGCCAACAAATATTTAAGGCACTGAGTTCAAGCCACAGACACAAGACAGGCAGGGGGAAGGCTATATTATTATGTACCAAAGATGTACATTGTATAAGAATTATTAGTATTTTAAAACAGCTTTATCAAAAAAGGCATTAGAAAGTTGGAAGAACAAACCAAGCTAAACTTTGGTTAAAGCACATATGACACTACCCGAAGAAAATTACAGCACATCATGTGTCTTTAAGTTTACCTACTTTTAAGTTAATAAACTACTATTGTTTTCCTTACTGTAACATTATGGCCACTTGAACTTGCTAGGTGTATACGATGTATAAATTTATATTACATGTTACATTCACAGTGTGTGTGTAGATATCCTTTGCATCTAGATAATAGTCTCTCCTCATTCATACAAATCTGTATTTTCAACTTTGCTCACTAAAATTTACATGTAACCCCAAATTATTTGTGCTGCTTTTATGGTCTTTCACTGATGCCAAAACAACATGTTGGCAAGGATGTGGGAAAACTGGAATTCTGTACATTGCTGTTTGAAACGTAAAATGGTGCAACTGCTGTGGAAAAAGTCCGTAGTTCCTCAAAAAAACTAAATATAGAATTAGCATATGACCAGAACTCTACTTCTAGATGTAATCAAACAAAAGTACTGAAAACTGAAGTTCAAGCACTAATATTCACTGCAGCATCATGTACATAAGCTTTAAGGTAGAAACAACTGAAATATCCATCTCAGATGAATGGACAAACAAATATGGTAAAGATACAATGGACTATCATTTCACCATAAAAAGGAATGAGGTCTGACATGCTACAATATGGAAGAACCTGGAAAGATGCTTAGTGAAACAACCTGGACACAAAAAAACAAATACAGTATGATTCTACACAAATGAAGTATCTACATTGGCAAATTATAGTAGTAAACTAGAGGTTACCAGAGGAAGCTGGGAAAAAAAATGGTTAACACAGTCTTTGTGGTGATTAAATAGTTCTGGAAACAGATTGTGGTAATGGTTGTGTAACACTGGGAATATAATAAATATGACTAAACTGCACAAAGTCAGTCATATCAATATGACTAAAATGATAAAATTTATTCTTTTTCTGGTCATAGTGAAATTTGAACTTAGGGCTTTGTACTTGCTAATCAGGTATTCTACCACTTGAGCCTGCCTCTAGCCCCTTAAAATGGTAAACTGTATATTATATATCTTACTGCACAAAAAAAATTATTTTTGGTGGCACTGGAGTTTGAACTCAGAGCCTCATACTTGCTAAGCAGACACTCTTACTGCTTGAGCTACTCTGCCAGCCCTAAAAAAATTTTTTTAACTGAAACTCTCAAAGCTAAAGTTGTTTCTTTTAAAAAGCAGAACACAGGCTGGGGATGTTGATTCACACCTGTAATCCCAGCTACCTAGGAGACAGATGCAGGAGGATCACGAGTTTAAGGCCAGCCTGGGCTAAGATATCATGGAGACACTGTCTCAGAAACAAAATAAAAACAAAAGTGCTGGGACCATAGTTCAAGTGGTAAAGCATTTGGCTAGCATGCATAAGGCCCTTGGTTCAATCCTACTACTGTGATGGAAGAAAAAATAAAGAGGATAGAAGGACCTGGCTCAAGTGTTTGGTTAGCAATTGGAATTACTAGGCACTGAGTTTAGAGTTCAATCTCCAGTAGATATGATGCCTAAGTGATGAGATGAAATGAATGAATGACATAGACATTGTAATACAGTGTTAGGCTACTACATAAGGGTTACTTGAATACAAGTACTGTAACAGCTTGACAGCTGATCTAACAACCAAGGCGGCTATCAAATAACTAAAGGGCACGTAGCGTACATACCATGGATTCACAAACCCAGGTAGAATGACATAAAAAGTTCATCAAGCCAGTCAGAATTGCTTATTTTTGGAATTTCCCATTTAATATTTCCAGACCATGGTTAATTGTGGGTAACTGAAACTATAGAAAGCTAAAATGCATTTAAAGGACTAATATGTATCAGTATGGACTCCTGGATTACTATTTTGATAATATATTGTTATTTGTATTTATGCTCAAACTGTTCTAATTTGGCCAGCAGAAACTTCTTTAAGTTCGTTCTCATGTCCTCTTGACAAATTTCCATCATTTAAAAACTTTTAGAAATTCAGTTCAACTTCCCCCTTCAGTAATTCCATGTTTCTCTTCATTAAACAATCAGATAAATACTTACATGAAGAACTGTGAACCATTTGTATCCTTCCCTCTGTTGGCCATTGACAAGAGAAATTCTTTGTTGTGTTTAACAGCAAAACTCTCATCTATAGAGAAACAAAGTTTTTAGTTACATTATAAGCATAACCTCCAAAAAGTTCATTTTCACTCTTTCTCATAATCTAAAGGCTACTTTTTTTGTTTTGTTTAACAGGGTTTTGCTAGTTAGTCCATGTTGACCTTGAAATCACAATCCTCCTCAGTCTTCCCAGTGCTAGGACTATGCGTGTGTGCCACTACGCCAGGTTGGTAGTGTTCTTAGATATCAGGTTGATATCTAAATTGTGTACAATTTAGATATCAAAGTTAGGTTGCAAAGGAAGAATTAACTGTGAATCAATTTTCTCTCTCATATTTTTAGGTTAAAATTTTAATTTATTCTTCCTGGTGCTGGGAATTAAACACATGGCCTCACACATGCTAGGCAAGCACTCTACCAAAGAGCTATATCCCCTGCCCAAAATACAGAAAACTTTCTATCCCCTGCTTGCCTAGGGGATGTGTGCTGGGATTGCCCCAGCACCGAGTTAAAAACAAAACTAAACAAAAAGCAAAATGGTAAGAGTCCAAATAAGACTCACATTTTACCTTTTTCACTTGTGAGCAATGAGAAGCACACATAATACTATTTAGTTGTGATTCATTAACATAACCTCTACCATAGCATCACTTATTGCAGAGAGAAACTAGTCTTCCAATCTTAGATCACAGAACAGTTTTCTTCGCTAGCACTGGCCCAGCTGCCAGCTCCTCCCTGGCCACGGCGTTTATGTTACTGGCCTTTTGCTATATGGTGGTGCTGCTGCTCACTGCTGCATTCATCTTTTTCACTATCTGGCACATTATAGCATCTGATGAGATGAGGATTGCTTACAAGAATCCTATACAGCATGTTTCTTTGTGTAGCAAAATGGCTTACACTAGTTCTCAATCTGCCCCTCTTGGCACATCATATTTGGAGGTATATGAATAGAGCAGTAATGGATGGACCAGGACTCTATGACCCCATAACCATTATGAATGCAAACATTCTAGCACACTGTCCAGAGAGGATGGCCCAAATTAGCTTTTTACCTTTAAGCAGTTTTTTACTACCTATATGGCATGATCTATGTTTCGATGAGCTCTTAGAACAACACACAGAAGAATTGGTCCAACTAAATGCATGCAAAAAGCCATCAAGTTAAGGGGCTCTATCTATGGAGATCTGGTTTCCAAGACAAACCTATGGAGCTAGGGGTGCAGCTCAAGTAGTAGAGTGACTGCCTAGTAGTAAGAGCAAGACCGTGAGATCAAACTCCAATGTTTCTACATTGTTTGCTTGTGGAAAGACTGTTTTTATGTTATACTTGGATAAAGTATTTAAATGGAATTATGTATAAATTAATATATAATTATTACTTCTGGTATTGACAAGTTTGAACTTGCACTACTTAAGGAACAGCCATAATCCTGTGAATGGTTGAATTACTGACTGCTTTTAGTCCACTAGAAGATTTATTTATAGGAACTTATAAGTCTCATTTTGATTTTATTGAAATGCCATCTTAAGTATAAATTAGCTATAGTCATCAGGTGCTTCTGATGAAATGAAAAATGTATATATGACTTGTGGGAGACATGACAGGTTACCACATTTATAGATGGTTATATATGGATACATTTACAAAAATAAGAAGAGTGGGATTTTCCTCTTCTGACTTGGAATAGAATCCCAGAGATTTCCCATATTTTCAGAGTAATATACATGCTTTAATTCTTAAGCGTAAGTGAACATTACATAAAAATAGATAATGAATTTGGGCTGAGGGGTGTGTGGCTCAAGGAGTAGAGCACCTGCCTAGCAAGCGTGAAGCCCTGAGTTCTAGCCCCAGTACAGTCAAAAAAGTATATACATATACACACATACATGGATCTATATGTGTATATAATATATATAATTACTTGCATGTAAAGCTATTTTAAATGTGTTTTTACTTGTAAGACATTACTTATTAAGAAATTGGTTATATTATGCTTACTGTTCTAATATGGTGGTAAAGGCATTCTTAAGAATTTGTAAGTACTGGTGGCAGAGTGGCTCAGATGGTAGAGCGCCTACCTAATAAGCATGAGGCCCTGAGTTCAAGTCCCATGCCACCAAAAAAAAATTCCAAATACTTCGTATTTCCAAAAATGAATGAGAAAGAATTGTGTAACTGTCCTGCTGCTCCTTTAGTGTAATACAATAAGACTCTGAAATAAGATGCAAAAAAAAAAAAAAAAGAAAGAGTAATATGAGAACAAAGCATGTGGAATTTGAAATAAAATTCACTGAGTATCAAAAGTGAAAGATGGGTGATGGTGAATACGATCCCACTATTTTATATATTCAAATGAAAATGCCATAATGAAATTTATTATTTTGTACAATATACACTAATAAAAAAAAGAAAAAAAATAAAGGTGAAAGCCATTAAGTTATTCCTTCATTCACATGCTTACAGTTTCTCCAAAGAATCTTCAGATTAAAAAAAAAAATCCAGAGAGAAAACTTGAATTTGGAAAAAATGTGCAAATGATAGAATATCAAAGAGATTTAAGATTTTCATAGAAAAAGAGGATTTCCTAAAATTTTGGATACTTTCACTAAGAAATACTGCTGAATTTCCTTTAATAAAGGTTAAGTTTGAGCTACGAAGTTCCTATTCTAGCACTACAATTCTAAGAGTTTAGTACATATCAGCAACTCCTCAAGTAATTATGATGTGCTGATGTCCTGAAAACAAAATAAGATAAAAGTATATCACGTAAAACTTATTATAAGAAAATTAACTTTCAGATTAGTTGAAGGCAGTTGGGTATTAGTATATTTAATGAATAATGTTACTGATTCAATAAAGAATCAAATTGATAAAAAAAAAATAAGAACATATTTAAATGTAAACACGTTACCTTCAAAAAATCCTCCATAAATAGATTCTCCTCCTCGTCCATTTCCTAAGAATGAAAAACATTATACTCTTAGAATTCAAGACAGTAAACTAAGCAGGTACTTGAATTATTTTGAATCAACAATACTCAATCACAGAAATTATATTAATTTAATGTCAATAATGACAAGATCCAAAATTACTTTTTCCTGTGATATTATGGTAAGAATGTGACAATCTTACCGATTCAGATGTCTATACAAGTCTTTTCATAATAATTAATGACATTTTTCAAAGTATCTTTAAAAATAGTTTCCACAATTTTCCAATAAAAAGTTCAGGTAAAACCACACTGTATAGCTTAGTGGTAGTGTACTTGCCTAGCACACACAAGGCCCTGGTTTAATCCGCAGAAAGGGAATGGGGATGGTGTAAAATTATTTTCTATGTACTTTCTTCTTTTATGTCTTTCTATGAGTTTTCCAAAGTATTTGATTAAAGAGTAAATAGAATGAGACGAAAAACTAGACTAAGACTTCTAAGGATTTTTCTCTTTTTTTTTTTTTGGTGGTACTAGAGTTTGAACTCAGGGCCTCATGTTTGCTAGGCAGACTACCGCTTGAGCTACTCCTCCAACTTTTTGTGATGGGTCTTTTGAGATAGGATCTCAAGAACTATTTGCCTGGGACTGGCTTCAAACTGTGATCCTCCTGATCTCTGTCTCCTGAGTAGCTAGGACTTTTCTAACTTTAAGATCCTTGACATTTGACAAAGAATACAAATAGGGTTTTCTTTTGTGAGAATCAAGGTCTCACCTTCACTGAAGTCACCACCCTGTACCATGAAATCCTTGACAACTCTGTGAAAGAGACAACTCTTATAATGTAATGGCTTCTGAGTTGATTTCCCTGTCCCCTTTTCACCTGTAGAAAGAAGCATGAGTAGGCCATTTAGTAAATAAGAAATCAAAGAATATTAAAGCAAAATTAATCACAAACACTTTTGCCCTATAAAGTATACCACCTCCTGAACTTTTAAAGACTTTTTTTTTTTTTTTTAAATTCCCCCGTACTGGGGTTTGAACACAGGGCATATACCTTGAGACACTCGGCCAGCCCTTTTTTGTGATAGGGTCTCTTGAACTATTTGTCCAGGCTGGCTTCGAGCCGAGATCCCCCTGATCTCTGCCTCCTGAGTAGTTTAGGATTATAGGTATAAGCCACCTGCGCCCAACCTATAGATTTCTTTAACAAGAGAATTTTTACTACCTTTAGGATTTAAAAAAAAAAAAAAAAAACACTTTGAAAATCATTCACATTTTTCTGGAAAGTGTAGAAATCAACGTCAAATAAAAATCTCATTACAACTTTTTTTTTTCCCCGCATAGGGTCTTTTCATGCAGCCCAGACTGGCCTCCCAACTCTTTATCCTTCTACCTCAGCCCCCAAGAGCTGGATTACAGGCATATACCACCACATCCAGCTTACAACTAGTGTTTCTAAGAATTATTGAGCAGTTGAAAATGTGAACCAACCTGTACAAAGACAACGAAAGTTCTCACACGTTTTGGGGCATACATCAGAAAATAATTCAAAGACAACTCTTCCAGCTGAAAAAAAAAGGTAGTTGGCTGAATGTACTTTACTAATTTAAAATTTTAAATACTGATTTATGAATGTTAATTAGGAAAATTAACAGTCTTACCAGGTTGATTGTTAATGGCAATGTCAAAAAAACATCGAGGACGTTGAACCTTTATTCCCATGTTTCCAATACTTCAACCTGTGAGTAAAATACAGTTTTACGCAAGCATACTAAAATAAGCAAGTTTTCACAAATATCTGAAAAAACATTCCTGTGGAGCATAAACTTGAATTTATTTTGATATCTAGTTCCATGAGGTAAATCATATGGATTATTAATTCTCTTTTTTAGATATTAGGTTGCATTTTTTGATAAAATAGTTTAGCCATTATCATGTAATAAATTTCTGTTTTATCAACTCAATATACATTGCCAGCCCAAACAGAAAATTGTATCAAATCTGTATGACTAGTTAACCCAAAAGAGAGATTACTTTTAAATAGAAAAAAAAAAACCAAACCAAGGACAATTGATCCAATCCTTTTGCTCCGATAAAACAAAAACGAGAGTTCTGAATATGAGACTTTTTAAAAAGAAAACCATTCAAATTTCTAAAGCACACCAAAAATCACTCATTCTTTCATGACAGAAATATTTGACAGTTATAAAGTCCAAGTAAAAGCAAATCATTAAGTTTTGTACATAAGGCTACTTTTCTTTTTGCTTTTAATTTGTTTTTCATATAGGGTTTCCTGCCTTCCAAGTTTCATGGATTATAGGTGTGAACTGCCATGCTCCACTTGTCTTTGAAACAGGTCACTAACTTTTATGTTGGCTGGCCTTGAACTTCCTCTGTCTGCCTCCTGAGTAGCTGGGCTAAGGCCACTTTCTGATCATGGCAACAAGCAGCCTTGACTGATATGCTTATGCACATACACCAGTGAGTGATATGCTGTGTAAGAGCTTTATCAACACAGGAGATACCTCGTATTTGACAGCCATTCTTTTTTTGGTAAGGCATTTATTCTAAGAACTTAAAATGATGAATTGTAATACTCGGTGGGGGATAACAGAGTAAGGTAAAGAGACAACAAAACAAAACCAGGAAGTATAAAAAGCATCAAAAAACTGACAGACTAAAAAAAATGTCAATTTCATCTGCTTAGAAAAGACTAATTGAAATGTATGCTTTTATGAAAAATACCATAGCTGAACTAAAATGGTGGCTTAGCAACCAATACACAGTATTTTAGATCAAGTGAAGCTCTGAAAGATCTACATTCTCCATCCTGATTACATTCCTCCCCTTAACCGTATGTGTGTGTGTGAATGCACACATACATATATATACACACACATATATACACACACACATATATATATATATATACACACATATATATACATAATATATATTTTCGGGGGGGCAGTACTAGGGCCTACACCTTGAGCTGCTTCACCAGCCTTTTTGTAACGGGTTTTTGTGACATAGGGTCTTGTAAACTATTTGCCCAGGTTGGCTTCAAACCTCAATCTTCCTGCTCTCATAGCCTGTAGCTATGATTACAGGCATGAGCCACCAGTGCCCAGTGTTAACTATTTTTTTACTCTCTTTGGTGCTCAGGATTTAACCCAGGGCCATCACCCATGGTAAGTATGTGCTCCACCAATGAGTTATACCCCCAGCCCCTTAAATGAATTTTTTATTTAGATAATTCTGTAGTTGTCATCCACTTATAGAAAATTCATATTCATTTAATAGAAAATCATATAAAGAGTTCCAGTGTGCAGATTACACAGTTTACTCTTGGTGTGGTTTATCTAAGTGTTCCCCAAAAATCCATGTTAAAGGCTTGGTCCTCAAGGTGGTACTACTGAGAGATAATGGAACTTTTAGGAAGTAAGGCCTAGTTGGAGAGACTGTGGACCAATAGCCTCTCACTCTTTTTCTCTTTTCTCCCTGGCTGATAGGTCTGAGTGGTTTTGTTCTACCTCCTGTAGTCCTGCCACATGCTGTTATGCTAGGGTCTCAAAGTAACACTCCACTGCAATCTTGGACCAGGACCTCCAAAACTAGAACTCCAAGTTAATTTTTAACTTCATAGCTGGGAAAAAAGGGAAAGCCAAAATAAACCATTTTGAGGCTTCCAGGATAAGATAGCAGGTTAGAAGCTTCCTCTGTCCAATTCCATGAATGAGTTGGTATACCAAAGGACAAATTATATTCCAAAGAGACAAAAAGCATCAAAATCACAAAAGAGGCAATAGGACAAATGAAAACCATGGAGAAACAAAGTCTATACAGAGAAAAGTAGGAAACTGTCTCTAAACTAAGCTTCCTCGGACACTCCAAGTAAGTGGATAAACCAAGAGTTCTTGCAAGCTTTATACCCAGCATGGGGATTAGGTTTGACAGTAAATTCTCCTGCAGACAAGTGTTGAAGAAGAAATCTATTTTGAGGAGTGCATCCCTCCCAAACCCAACATCTTAGAGTGCTATAGTCAGGCACCATCTTGAGAGAAGGCCTATCATTTAAAATGAGCTATTCTGGGGACCTGAAAACAAGGAACAATCTCAACTCACCCTAGGGACACCCTGACACAGAGTCTGGGTGGGAGACAGCCACAATATGCAGTCATGGAGTGGGGAGAATTTGATGTAGACCTGCTGAGAAATATAAGGGCTCTGTGGTCAATGGCCATGTCCTCTGTGATGAGGAGAAAACCCCATCAACCTAAGGATTCCTGTGAAGACTCCAAGTCCATGGCCAGCAAATTATCAGCTTCTGGAGCTGTTCCTTCCTACATATGGTTTGATGTCAGGCAGACTGACAGCTCAGGTATAGTGGTCAAGTCATGAATTTCCCATACAGTGGTTTGCTGCTGGGCAGGATCTGAGTGGTCTAAGCCCCACAGAGTGCAGGGTTCCCTCAGTTCTCTCCATCCAATGCACATCTCAGTGCTTTGTATGCTTCCCCCATTCTCTGATGTAGTTGGGGGATACCCTGAAGCTTGGACATTTGCTGCTTCTGTGTGTACAAACTGGAAACCCTTTGGAGCAAGTGAGAACCTGCCTGGTTCATAGGCTGAAAAGCTCGTTGGGGCTAGCAGTGGCTATGGATATGTAAAAGTGAAGTTTTTGACAGACCTGGTTCTCAACCCACAAATAGCATCATCCTAAAAAGAAGGAACTATAATTGACTTCAGCTACAAATTACTATCCCACTCTACCTGACAGATTACCCTATTAAAGGACCCAGAGAGAAGATTCTCCAATTCTTTACCTTTTATTAAAAATAGTTTTTAAAAACTTTTTTCTTTTTCTATAAGTTTTTACTTTATTTTGTTTTTATATTTTATCCTTCTTTTTAGTTTTATCTAATCTTATTTATGCATTTTCTTTATTTTGTAATCAGATTTTTTTTAATTCCCTTGCTTTTATCTTTCTCACATTCTATTCCTTTTTACCTTTTTGTTTCTGGTCTTTAACCTTGCTTCTTTCTATTTCCCCTTTCCATGCACTCCTCCTTCATCTCATTCATTACTATTAGTTTTACTTTTAAAATTTGTTTTTAATTTTTAATTTTTTGATTATTTGTTGGGCAACACTGGGACTTGAACTCATGGCCTTACCCTTGCTAGGCACTTGAGCCCTTTTTTGTGTTGGGTATTTTGGAAATAGGGTCTCATGAACTATTTGCCCTGGCTGGCCTCAAACTGTGTTCCTTCCAATATTTCCTTCATAAGTCTCTAGGATTTACAGGCGTGAGCCACTAGTGACAGGCTAATGTTTTTTATTTTTTTGCAACAGGTTCTTGCTACATGTATGTTGTCCTGGCTGCTCTTTAATTTGCTACATGGCCCCGGCTAATCTCAAATTCACTATCTTCCTGTTTCAGATCTATGGTACCACCCCTGCTTGACTGATAACTTACAGCTTATTCAACATTGTTCTTGGGCTGGTAGAATGGTTCAAGTGTTAGAGCACCTGCCCAGCAAACATGAGGCCCTGAGTTCAAACCCCAGTACCACTAAAACAAGCAAGCAAGCAAACAAACATAAATCACATTATTCTTGTAATTTTCTTCACTATGGTTATTGATGGCATAGTAGTTGGCTTTAATTGATTTTCATTATATTTCTATGCTGGTTTATTTTGGTGGTGTGGGTATCATAGGAATTTGTTTTCTGCTCTCTAAATGAATGGCACTAGAGATTTAGCCCTTAAGGGAAGGCTGCTCAAATAAAACCAGATGAAATATTAAGCCGAACAGATGACCCAATCACAACTTAGAAACATAAGAAATGAAACAGCAAGACAACAGGGCTCCTCCAAAAGTCCAGAATTTTTCAATAACTGAATCCAAAGATATTGAAATGGTTGAAATGCTGGTCAAAGAATCTGAAAGTCTAGTTTTTAAAATGATCAATGATGTCAAAGAGAATTCAAATAAACACATGAGGGCTGAGAGCATGGCACCAAGTGGTACAGTGCCTGCCTAGCAAGCACGAGGTCCTGAATTCAAACCCCAGTACTGCAAAACAATTTTTAAAAAGGACATGAAAGCAGAAGGGAGACTATTTGGAAAGAGGAAGGGGACCAAGAGAAGGGGGAGGGAGTGAACAAGAGAGTATAATGAGTGGAACTAATATGCTCAAAGCCCATTTATTATATAAATGTTTGAAAATGTAGAGAAAGTCTTCATTTTGTACAATATAACACTAATTTTAAAAATGGAGGGCTGGGGATGTGGCTCAAGAAAGTAGTAGATGCCTACCTAGCAAAAATTTGGTAATGAGTTCAAACCTCATTACTACTACTACAAAAAAAAAGCTAAGATAGAAATAGGAAAAAAATTATACATTAATAAATCAGATAATGTAGAAGAAATGGAAAAAAATCTTTTCTTAACCCAAAATCACAAATATCTGTTTTTTTCTCAGAGGTTAGGTTGATATTTAGATTTGTGGTTTGCTGTCAGTTTTGTGTATGGGCTACTTTTCCTTTTTTTGCGTTTGTTTCTGCACTAATGTTGAGAAGACTATCTTTGTTCCATCAAACTGGATTTATACCTTTCTCAAAAATTACAGTATGCTGGCTTCTATTTCTATACTCTCATTTCTGCTCCACTGATCTGATTGTTAATCTCTGCACCAATAGCACTCTGTCTTGGTTACTGTAGTTTTAAAATAAGTCT